CATTACTATTAATTTTTATTTAGAGTTAAAGAGAAAATATGAGGGAAAACGATGAAAGGTAATAATAAATAATACAATAAATAATAAATAAAGGTAATAATAAAAAAAGTAATAATAAATAATGTCACTATTATTTATTACTACTACTGTTATTACTGTTACTATCACTATTATTATTACTACTGTTATTATCACTGCTATTCTTACTATTACTGTCATTAATATGATTATTACCATTATCATTACTACTATTATTGTTTCTATTATTTTTACTATTATTATCACCATTATTATTGCTATTATTATCATTGCAATTACCATTATTATTACCCTTATTATTAATTTTTATCACTGTTATTTTTTTAAGATCTGCACCATTATTATTTACACATCATATGCGGTAATTCATAATTCCGTTACTATTAGCAAAAAAAGTGTGTTTTGGCGTAAAACCTTCGTAATGGCAGACGAAAAATGAATGAAATTGATAAGCATCGAAAGAAAAATTCGAGTGGTATCGGCTCTCGGCGCAATCATATCCAGCAACGTGAACTGCGTCTCATCTGATGAAATATCTTCCACAACTGCCGATCTGAAAAAAACCGATCAAAAAAAAAACAGGGGAAAATACAATGAAGCTTAAAATCTTCCTCCACAAAAATCTTCAGCCCGTACAAGAGATGATGGACGCATTTTGAATCAGCCAGGAGAAGTGCACAGCTTGAAAAATCATCCTCTTTTTAGCTCAAAAGTCGAATATAGCAACTTCTTTTTTTTGATTTTCTGGATACATACCAGCCCCCAAGGTATCACCGAAACGGAGGATTTTCCTCTTTTTTTTTTGTTAAAAGCGTAATTCAACTAATTTACACAAATAATCTAATCATAACTTCGACTAACTTCAGAATTACTACAATCGTCGCTGTACTGACGAAGTCCAATTGTAGTAACTGGTAAGAAATGTATGCGACTTAATAGACCGAAACACTTTTTATCGATTACAATAATCTCGCAAATTTTCTAATTTTCATTTTTAATCTTCTTTTTCCCCCTTTATTCCATTCCCTCCTATTATGATTTTCTATTACCGTTTGCTTCAAGAAGTACGATCATCTCCTGCAGACAATTACAACAAACGGACATTTAACTAAAAAGATAAATTTATTTTTAAAACAAACTTATTTTTTAAAATATAAATTTTAAAATATCTAAAACAAATTTATTTTTATCCAAAAACTTACATCGCTTCAAAAACAACCATTTTTAGCCACGCTTTTTGGAATAGTTCGTTACCGAATTCGCTATGAAACGTAAACGGCAGCATCGTGTACGCAGTATCCGGAATATCCATGATCTGCCGGGTGATGTACCAATATATCTCGCATACTACATCACACTGAAACAGATTATTTGCTTCTGAATGCGCTTCTTTTCCTTTTTGTTTGGAACAAAAATTATTAAATTTTTCGAAAAAATTATTTCGAGAAAAAAATCGAAAAAAATTTCGAAAAAAATTCGGAAAAAAATTATTGAAATCAAAAAATTATCAAACTTTTCACTTCAAAAATTTTATCGTCCCCCTTCAAAAACACAAATTATTATCGTTTCTTTCAACTGAACACATCGGCAAATCCGAGGGGCAAAGCTCAAATTGTACAAATTTAGAAAAAATCAAATTTCCCATTTTCAAAATTTTGTTTTCCAAATTCTGTGAAAACTCAAAGTGTTTACCGTTGGTTTTTGGATATCAGCTGGGGTGCAATGAATTTCGGGAAATAATTCGTTCA